CTCACTGAGGTCAGTACACTTCTACCCAAGAAGCACTGGGCCCTCAGTATATTCTGATTTAGTACCTTCCTATGAAAACTAAAGATAACTTTTGCTCTCTAAACCCATTATACCTTAAAAAACAAAAACAAGTTTTTCTCTGTATTCTGGAAGTGGAAGCAGAAGGATCAGGAGTTCAAGGCTAACCCTGACCATGAAAGTTTCCCTATTACAGTCTTTGGTTGCCTTTACTTATTCTTCCCCCTTGTCCTCATTACAAAAAAAGCAGTGCTAATCTTAAGAAGAAGGAAAAAAAAAGAAATGGAAAGATTAAATAATTTGCCCAATATACAATTAACTGTATGAATCAGAATTTGTTCAACTCTCTAAAGTCCTTTAGTTTATTATACTCCGTCTTAGAACTGCAGAACTTGGGAAGAAGTGATATTTGTTTTATTTGAATCAAAATATTATTCTAACATTTGGGAAGCTGAGGCAGGAGGGTTATTACAAGTTCAAGCTTGCCTGAACTATACCTAATGAGTACCAAATCTGCCAAGGTCCACATAGCAAAACTCTGATTCAAAAAATCTAAATAGGGGTATGTGTATTGAGGGGGTTGTGTGAAGAGGAAATAGACAGAAATGACTACCTCATGACATTAAAGATCATGCTTGTAAATTTATTTAACACAATACCTGTACATAATAAGATCAGTGAATATTGGCTATTATTATGTTTATTCTGTCAATGGCATCTCTATTCTATTAAGCTTAAGATCTTGTAGTATACCAAAACTTCCATTACATGATCTACTTTAAAAAAATATTTTGTTCTAAAATTATATGTATATGTCTATATGGGGGTAAGTACAGGTGCCTGCAGAGGCCAAAAGATGTTGGATCCTCTGGAGTTGGAATTACAGGCAGTTTTGATCTGACACGGGTGCTAAGAACTAAACTCCTGTGTAAAAGAGGTACTCTATCACCACCACCACCCCCTTTTTTGAGACGGTTTTCTTGTGTAACAACAGTCCTGGCTGTCATGGAACTCACTCTGTAGACCGGGCTAGAATAGAACTCAAATAGATCCACCTGTCTCTGCCTTCCGAGTGCTGAGATTAAAGAAGTACACCACCACTGACTGGCCAGCACCCCTGCCACCCCCTTTTAAAGGCAGGGTCTCATTCCTGGCTGGCTTGTAACTTGAAGCAATCCTTCTGTCTCATCCTCTTGAGTGTTGGGATTATAGGTGTGAGCCAGCCCACAGAGCTCTTCTTCAGTGTATTTTTTTTCTTTACTTGTGGAATAACTGAATCTTGAGATTCAAGAATCTAGTGTACTATTTTTGTATCTACTAGGTATATTCAATGATACCCACTATACCTGTTGAGTGAGAGCATTATTTCCCTGTTATTACACTAATGTAGGCCTGTCATCTGCAATGCTTTCTTTGACCTCTGTCTCTATTCTCTCTGAATCTTGCTCTTCCTGATGACATTACTCTGTCAAACTAAAAGCTCTTTATTCCATTCAAGAGTTCATTGAGTTCAGACCTCAATCCTGATACTTAAGGTAGTACCCCTTATTCTAGTGAACTTTTCTCACTGTACTCTTGAGAAAGGGTGCCACAGCAGGGAATGAGGTCAGAGGACAGTCTGCAGGAACCCTTAGGTTGTCAGGCTTCCAGCAAATGTCTTACCTGCCGAATTACCTCACTGGCCTGTTCTGTTTGTCTTTAAGTTTTTGTTCACTGCATGCTTGTGTTGCCTCTATTTCCTTCCCCCTCTCTGCAATGCTAGTCTACCACCTTCAAGAAGCCTTTCCTGTTTTCCAGCTTGCCCTTTCTAAAAACTTCCTTCCAAAATGGCACTGTTCAACAGGCCTCTTCCTTGGCCCCTCTAAAAGTTTTTCACTGGAGTCAAGAACTTGCTGGGTGGCTATTGACATATCTAGCCCACTAGCGGCTCTCTTGTCTCCTCTCAACCAGGAACAATGAAGTAGTGACAGGCCAGTCTCAGACAGTCTCCAGAGCTTTCCCCCTTTCCTCCCCTGTTTAGTTATCCCCTCTCACATCCACGGGAATTCTCATCTTTTCTATCTACAAACTCTACTATTTCTTTCTCTACTTGTTTGTTTTGTTTTTCAAGATAAGGATTCTCTGTGTAGCTCTGGCTGTCCGGGAACCTGCTCTAGACCAGGCTGGCCTCCAATTCATAGAGATTCACAGGCCTCTGCCTCCCAAGTGCTGGAATTAAAGGCATCTGCCATCACCTAGTTTTTTTTGTTGTTGTTGTTGTTTTAAGTTTTTTTTGTTTGTTTGTTTTTTTCGAGACAGGGTTTCTGTGTGTATTTTTGGAGCCTGCCCTGGCACTCACTCTGTAGACCAGGCTGGCCTGGAGCTCACAGAGATCCACGTGACTCTGCCTCCCAAGTGCTGGGATTAAAGGCGTGCGCCACCACCGCCTGACTTCTAGCTCTATTAAGAATTCTTTGCTTCCTTCTAGCTTATACTTTTTTTAAATTTAAAATTACTTCTTTTTAAATTTTTATGTGCATTGGTGTTTTGCCTGCATGTATGTCTGTGTGAGGGTGCTGCATCCTGGAGTCACAGACAGTTGTGAGCTGCCATGTGGGTGCTGGGAATTGAGCCCATGTCTTCTGGAAGAATAGCCAGTGCTCTTAATCACTGAGCCATCTCTCCAGCCCCCTACTACTTTTTTTTTTTTCTCAATTGCTTCCTTTCTGCAAGTCGGGGCCTCCAAACCACTCATCTCTTCTAGCCAAGATTAGCATCTCAGACCCTCCAGGCTAATGCCGGCTTCCACATTCCCAGGACTTCTTGGAGCCTTGCTCAGCTCCACTGAGGCCTTTCTCCCATTCACCATGGGGTCAGCCTGACCTTTTCTGTTCAGTTTGGCACAGGGCCTCCACAATCTCCTACACTCACACAGGGCCCGAGGACTTCTTACTCCTCTCTTCTCCCTCACCCCCACCTAAGGGAAGGCACTTGGGCCTGCTCTGCACTGGTAGCCTACTCCAAGCACAAAAGGACCTGCCTGACCACTCCGTGGTAAGGCCTTAGAAAGTACTCTGGAGCCTCAACCCTTCAAATAAGCCTCCTTATGGTTTACCAAAACCTCAACTTCAATTCTTAACTGACCAGGGTCTACCTTCTGGCCAAGATGTCACCACCACCCCTGGGGCCTCCTGGCGTAGCAACCCCTACATATTCCAAGGCCAGGAGTTACCTCTCTCCTCCCCTATCTTCCATTTGGCCCGACCTGTGCTTTCATCCAACTTCAACCCGACCCTACTCCACCACCATTCTGTCAGGCCCATGGCCTCCGTCTCTGAAGCCAGGCCTGATTCAGGGCCCTAACTTTCTCTTTAACTCTCTACTAGCACTTTTCACATCGTCGACCCTTTCTCCTCCTAAGTTGCCAGGCCTCCGGCCCGCGGTATAGTCCTGCAACAGGGCCTTCTTGAGACCATCTGGTCGGGGCGCTTCAGGCCGCTGGCCTTAGCTCTTCAGTGTGGCCCGCCTCGACAGGGTCCAGCCCTTTGGTTCTGGGCACTCTCTCGGGCCTGAGGCCTCGGTTCCCTCCCATTCGGACCACGGCTTCTTCCCCATGACGCGTCCTATCCCATTCGGACTCGTCTGCCCGGGATACCCCGGCCCTTGCCCCGCCTGAGGCCTCCTGGGCCCTTCCCGCAGACCGGTCGTTCGAGCCTGGCCCTGCTTGCTGAACCTGCCCCGGGCCCCTCCACTCACTTTCCACCCTTCTTCGCCGCCCCGGCCCATGCACGGGGCCTCCGCGCTACCTGCTCTGCAGGCGGATCAGCAGCTCCGTTTAGCAGTGAGGTCTAGGGCGTCGGTGCGCTCCCTTCAGCTCTTGGGCCGTCAAACAGGCCACGGCGCCCCCAGCCTTTCGGCCTCTCCCCCAACCCTTGCTCTCCACTCGGCTGCCTCACCCCGCCCATCCGCTGGGCTTCGGGAGTCTGGCTACCCCGGGGGGACCCGGCAGACGGCGGAGGCCCTGGGCCGTCAGTTTAGGTGGCTCCGGGCCTGGCCTCCTTGCCCCAGGCCGGGCCTGCCAATTTCGGCCCCTGACCCCCGGCAGCCGGGCCATCCCTGCCCGTCGGTTCGACATCCGAGACTCCTCGGTCCAGTCCTGCCCAGCCCAGTGTCAGTTCCGAGCCTGCGGCTCCGGCCTGCCAGTCCGGCCCCTGTCGCTAGGGCCCTGCCAGCTTTGCCCCACACCGGGCCTTCTGGCCTCGCCCCCCGCGCCCCCCGCGGCAAGCCGCAGTTCGGGTCCACTTGCTCGTCTGGTCCCCGTCTTCACTCGGACCAGCCCTGTCAGTCGGAAAATTCACGCTCCGACTCAAGAATCTGACTTCCAGTGCCCCGGGCTGGGCCTTGCCCCGGGCCTCTCGGCCTCGCCCCCCGCGCCCCCTAGCCGCTGGGCCGCCCCCGCTCGCTGCCGGAGGTAGCCCCTCACTCCGCCACTTACCCCACACCCCGCTCTCCAGAACCCCCATATGGGCGCTCACTGCCCGCCCGCACAGCTCGAACAGGGCGGGGGGAGCGCTGGGGCCCGAGGCCGAGCTCTTCGCTGGCGCCGCCTCCCGGGACGTGGCCTCCATGGTCGTTGCCGCCGCTACCTCACAGAACCAGCAACTCCGGGCGCGCCAGGCCTCGGGCGCCGCCATCTTGGGGAGGTGCGCGAGCCCGAGAGTGGCACACGCAGACCGCCATCTTGAAGAGGTCAGCTCTTAGGACCGGTCCATATGTGATATAGGTAAGAACATGATTTACGGTAAAAGAATGCCAACTGAATTTGCAAATATTTCAAGCATATTAAGAAGTACCATTTGAATAAATACTGTAGATCAATAAGTTTGTGCCGGCAGTGACCAAAACGATGTTTCTTAGCAAATCCTTCGCAGGCATATACAGCAGTTCCCCCTACCTCCTGCAGCTAGCGAGTAGTACAGGCCAATCTGTGCATGTGTTCGAGCCTACGATGAGTATGCCGCACTTCCGGCCAGGTCGCCGGATATCCGTCAAGTGACCCTTACAAGTCCTTCTTGATCCTGAAGTGGAGTAGGTACCGTTGTTTCTGCTGGTGTTGAATCCCTAGCAGCGTTCTGACATGGGACTAGAGGACGAACGAAAGATGCTTACCGGTTCCGGAGACCCCAAAGAGGTAAGGCTAGGAGGTCGGCTCTTACTCTCCCCAGTGCCTTGAGGCCCGGGACCTAGCGCATCAGAGCACTTTCCCGGGTTCTCTTAGTCCGGGTTTAACCTTCTAGGGTTGGCGGGGTGGAGGGAGGTGGTTTCCGTTGCTCATCTTCAGAATTCGTTAAGTGACCTTGGGCAAATTAATGGGTAGTCTTCCGAACCCACGAATGTGAAGGTTTAATTGTAGTTATAATGCTGTACCGATTAAAACTTGTGTTAAGAAGAAGCCTGTGTTGTCGGTCGGTCGGTTGTTTATTTAGAGTCTGATTTGACAAGTGTGTGAAGCGAACAAACCGACGTTTGTCTTTAACCTAGCTTAGAATGGCAATCACTATTTGTGGAGGTTCCGGGGACCCGAGCCTCATACCATTTTCTGTGAAAAGTGGTTCAGGAATTGGGGTGTAGTTTCGCAGTAAAACGTTAGCCTACCATTAAGAAGGCCTATGTTCACTCCCCAGCCCCGCAAACAAAAAGTGGTTCTTTATCTTTTGAGATGGAGATGACCGAGGACTTGAGTTTTGAGAATGTGCAGTGTAATTGTGGTGAAAGAGGGAGCTCTTTCCCAGCTTGGGTACCAGTGCGGCGAATACTGACTTCTCGCTCTTCTGAGTGCTTTCCGTGTACTAAACATTTAACTGAAAGTTTTCCCATGAGGTAAATATAAAGCACATTAGTTTTGGTCATTTTATAGATGAAGCAGCAAGCAAGGAAGTTTATTGTCTTTTCTAAAGGCACACCGCTAGCCAGACAGTGCTGCTGGGAATAGAGTCCAATCGTCACAGCATTAGAGACAGAGCTAGACCAGTACTTTACAAAAGCGACTTGCTTTGCTTCCATTCCTATGTATTTGTCCTCGGTCTGCTTCAGGACAAACCATCGGGGCTTTATGGACTTGGAATTATTTGGGAAATCGTTTATCCCTTAATTTTTTCTAGTCTTAGCAATTTTCAGAAAGTGTTAAAGCCAGGCTCAGAAAGTTCAGCAGGGTGCCAAAAACTACAATGCCATCAGATAAGTTTTTAAAATTAAGAAAATTGGGCGTGGTGGACCATGCCTTTAATCGCAGCACTCAGGAGGCTAAGGCTGAAAGGATCTCTGAGTTCAAGGCTATCTTGGTCTTCACATCGAGCTCCAGGACTGCCAGAACTATAGAGACCTGTGTCCAAAGCAAACAAACAAACACAAAAAAATCAACAAATCAATATGTAATAAATTGAAGAAAGTTGAATTAATTTTGTGAAAGAGCTGTAATTATTGGAGATTTGGAGATTAAGTTCTTTTATTCAATGTGACTTTGGTTTTTTCTCATTGGTGGAAATATGATCCATAATTAGACCTCTATTTCGATTTGTTTGACATGGTATTTTTTACTTAATTACTAATGCTTTAACATTGTTAATTGGGAATTGACACAATAGTCTAGAACACTAATTTCAAGGGTTTTTTTCCCTACAATTTTTATTTTTTTCTGTAAGCATGTATTTGTGTTTTGTTCCCGTGTTTATCTATCTGTGTACCACTTGCATGCCTGTGTACTTCTGATGCCATAAGAAGCCATTGAATCTGCTGAAACTGGAGTTAGAAATGTCTGTGGGCCACTATGTAGGTGCTAGGAAGAACCTGGAGTTTTTGGAAGATGGACAAGTGCCCTTACCGCTGAGCTATCTTTTGTGTGCATTTTGTAGAAGTTGGTGTATCTATAGATCTTTTCACATGTGTTTTTGGGACCAAACTCAGGTTATTGGCAGCAAGCAATTTTACCAGACAGTTTTTGGACTTTTTTATTCTTAAACTAGACCTTGAACCCAGGGCCTTAGTAGTCTGAGATTGTGCTTTACCACTGAGCTCTGATGTCAGGTTTTTGGGTTTTTTTGGGGGTTTGGGTAGGGGTTTTTTTTTCAACTTTTTTTTTTTTAATTTATACACACACACGGTATTCTGCCTGCATATCTCTCTTTCTCTCTCTCTCTCTCTCTCTCTCTCTCTCTCTCTCACACACACACA